ATCTGATTGGTGTGACATACATACATCTCTCACTCACTCACTCATCCATTGACCCGTCCATAACATGCCCGAAGCGCTGACTAAGAGGTATTTTTTTTAACAAAAAAATTACTCAACAAAGGGATTAACCAACTTGACCCCTGTGTCCCTAGCTTGTCAAATGAGTGGAAATAAAACCTAGTGAACCAGTGTCAAGTTTGTATATAGGCATATTTAACCTGATCTAAACTTGATGTTGTATTTTGACATAATTCTGCAATCTGTTACCCTTTGAGTGAGTAGATTTACAGCAGAAAGTGAAATTAATTTGCTTATTTCATGGTTGACCCTTGATTATAGAGCATTTGACTGTTCACAACTAACCCCTTTGAGACCCCATCCTAAGAAAACACTGTTCTTCAATGGTTGCACGCTAATATACCTTTAATTGCTTTTGGTTTCATATTGTGTTTTATTGTTCAGTTTTTAAATACACTCCCCAGGAGATTTCATTAAAAAACCTTTAGTTAATAAACACATAAAGACACTAACAGGGGTTTCATTAAGGGCTGGACACTGGGCAAATTGACCAGCTGCGAGGGCAATTGTGCCCACCTGGTTTGACCATCTAGCTGAACGTTTTTCTTATAAAGAAGTTCAGTTCAAATAGTTTGGCTCGCCTGTGAAAACCAGTTGCTACCCTCCAGAAAACCTGGCACTAAGAACACACAAACAGGTTAAGAAAGCAATGATTGCTTGGATTGCTGGGATCACTTAAAATTCTATCAAGTTCAACATTTGGTTTTATCATAATCAGTGTTACATTTTTATGACCAATATATACAATGTGCTCTGGAGTCCCAGTCATCGATCGGTGTGCTGGAAAACAACTTGATCAAGGAACTGAATGAACCTGGTCTTTTTTCTTTTGTTGGGGTTTTTTTTTCCTATTTCTTGTGAATTTATTCTGAGTGGCCAAGCCAAAAGAACTAAAAACATCCAGACATCAGCTGAGCAATAACAATTTTATGCATGCATTCAACAGATGGTCAGTCCTTTTGCAGAATGAACACTGCGGTTGCAGCTTTGAGGTTCTGTTTGGCTCCTTTGAACTTTCTTCCGTCATCTTGGTGTTATGAACAGACCTTTTCTCTTTGACATTCGGTTTTGGTTCCTTGTGAGTGCTGTCTGTTGCCCTTTCCAACTCCTTCACAGCATGACACGATGAAATAGGTCTTGAAATCTGGATACTTCTTTTCTTCTTTTATTTTTCTTGTGGCTTCTCTGTTCCACCGTGAAACAAGCCAGTCTGGCAATTTGGTGAGTAGCTCCTGGTTTTCCATGTAGTCATTCAAGACTTTTAGATTCTCGATTACTTGCATAGCAGTTTCTACACTTGTTAGGAAATCAGCAAATCTTCTAAGACACTGGTGATCTTTCATACCGATCTTGGGCCATTTTCGTAGCTTGTCTCTGTACGCATTTGTTACTATGAATGGATGACCAAACCTCTCGTCTAGAATGTTCCACGCTCGTTCGTAGGCTTCTGATGAACCTTGCAGGAAAAGTCTGTTAATAGCTTCTTTGGCAGATCCACTCACATATCGTTTCAAGTAATACATCTTATCGCTTGACGGTAAGTTCTTTCGGTGTATGAGGGCATGAAAGGACGACTTCCAATCCGGATAAAGGATGGGCTCGCCGCTGAAGATGGTCGGTTCAGGTGCTGGGAGGCGACTCGTGCTGAATGAATCAGCTATCGCTGTGACAATCAAGGTGACAGTATCTACGCTTGCTGATGATGCTTGCGGTTGAACGTATACGGGATGGATGGTTTCACTTTCCACAGGAAATTGATGTGTGTCCCGAGGCTGTTGAGCGGGCTGCGCGGTTGAATTTAGAGTGTTTCTATCTGATGGTGAATGTTTGAGTTCTTGAGGCCGAAGTGAGGAAGCTGCTTCTCTCTCAAAGTCTATCTGGATTGGAGAAGTGTCCAGGGGATCATCTTCAACTGAGTCAATATCGTCCTCGAATTCGACCTCTTGATACACCTTTAGCTTCGCTCTTGCCATTTCTATCTGTTTCTTGGCCTCCATTTGTTCTAACTCTACCTTTCTCTGCGCTAGTTCTGTTTCAATTCTTGCTGTGGCTTCCTTATGTTTTGCTTCTTCTTGTAGGGCGTTAAATTCCGCTTCCCTTGCAGCCAGCTCTGCAGCAGCCTCAGCCTTCTTTAGGTTGATGAGAGAAGATGCCTAGAGGAACAACTGCTTCTTGATCGACCTGACCTTATAGATGCCTTGCTTGATGTACTTCGCACAGATCTTTTTTCTTCTTCATTGCGTGATGAAGCTGAATCGCCTCTAATGGATTTTCTTTCTAGTGTTTTAGTCAAGGCATCACATACGTCCATTTTCTGTCGAATTTCTTGTCTTGGGGCCTGATCCTTCCGTATTTTATTGTATAACTTCTCGGTTTTGTTGCGGAGATCTTTCAAGCAGAGAATCGCTCCTTCCTTTTCAGCTTTTTCTACTGGTGACGATGGCAACTGTTTAGCGACAAACGACGCGATATCTGTTGCTTGCATTTTCCATGCGTCGTACACTTGGTGAAATTTCTTGATGAGCCAATCTTCATCCTTCTCATGCTCTTTTTGGCACTGCTCCTGATAGGCTTGGCCCTTTTCGGTGAGTGTTCGAACTCTAGTAATCCGCCGTTCAGGCTCCGACTGCTCTTGGACTACGTTTAGGCTATCTTTACCTACTTGATCGCGTTCAGCCTGCGTAGAAATCGCTAACTCTTCTTCATTAATTAAATCTACTACTTGACTTCCTGAGCTAGACATTCTTAATATTACTTAAATAACTTTGTCTTAAATCTTAATACTTCGCAACTGAGAGGCCGCGTAACATGACAAAA